TTCCATTGCCTCTAGCCCTGGCAAACATTTGAGAATCGCAGTTCTGTTTCCGTCAGCTGCAATTTTCCAAACTAGCGGATGGTGCATTTCGTCTTCCCCAGGGGCAGTCTGGAATGAATGAAGAGATAGCCTTCAGGGAGGTCTTTATTCCTGAGAATTCTTGCTGCCCCTGAGCATGTCTGCTCCTGGAGTCTGACCTTGGTGTTGGTAGCATCTCTTGGGTCACCTCAGCAACAATAACCGCAATGTGCCTGGATTGAGGATAGGAGAGCTAGGGCTGGACTAATTTGGGGAGCCAGGTGGGCTCATAAACAGTCATTATTGATGAAGAGTGACTTACTGGCTATTTAAAGACAGCTGGTTTCTGTACCATTCCGTTTTTTTCCCGCATGCACTTGAGGATTCTTTGGTAATGTCTTCTGATTTACCACTTGTCTTTGTTTTTAATATCAAGAAAGAATATAGATTGAAGCGATTGTCTTGGTAGCAACTTTAGTGGTGATGGCTGTGGAGTTATTAAAATTTATAGTCATGCTGTTTTTGCAGCCACACTTTGCTTTTCTTAGAGAGGCTTATAAAAGGCCCCAAAGAATGTGGAGAGAAAACAACTACCAAACTGTGATAGGAAATCAACCTTGCATAAATTTTTAAAATATATATTGTGTTTTCTAAACTTTACATTTATTTTCACAATATGTCTTGATGACAGTACCCACCAAACCAACTGGGCCTTAGCTCATAACGCTACTTTCAATAACACTAATGAGGGGAAAGAAGACTGACATCTTTTGAGGTCCAGAATTAAGCATGGCAACATGCCAGGTGCTTACATGTCTGTGCTCTCCTATAACCTGCACAGTAAGCTTCAGAGATAACAATTGGCCTCTCTTTCCCTCCACGACTCACTTTATGAAAGAGAAATCAGAAGTGAAATAACCAGACCAAGGCCATACAGCCTTAAGAGCCATAGCTGTTATATTTGAACCATGTTAGGCTAAAATCCACATTTATCCTATTAAACCAATTAATTTCTCTAAAAATCAGAGTGTTGTATATGATCAAATGATTCGGTGATTCCTTCTCCTGATCTCATATATTTATTTAATGTTTTATTACTTATAAAGTACCGTCATCTTCATATTATTTTAGCCTTACAACAGCCCTGTAAAGTATGTAATGTCCCCATAGTGTATTATCAAGACATGGCTTTAGAAAAGTCAAGTAATTTGCCCAAGGTCAGTCAGGCCTGGCACCAAAGCCAATGTTTTTGTTCCCTCACATCGTCTCTTTTCTAGATACAGGAGCCAGCAGAGTTGATTTGCATGGCAGCTGAGCATGATAGATTGAAGCCTGGGCAACTCCATGGGGATTTGCCACAAGGCTTCTGTGACTTCTAATGAACCGAAACAAAGCAGTTAGCCACAGATTATAATGCCACTGTGGTCCCATGACAAATGACAAGGAGGTTGTAGTAATGAAATCTTATTACTGCAAACAGAGAGACCACACCTGAGGTCTTGCACAGCCACATTTACCACTGTGGGGAAAAGAAATGAAACACCTGGGTAAGGGTCCCCACTGACTTTGGCAGTGAGCTAACAGGATTATGAAGATCTCCCAGAAACAGTGATTACACTGGCAAATGTGTGGCACCTAAGATAAGGACCAAATATTTATTTTGGCAGAGATTAAATCTTTTCTTTTCCTGAATCTAATATGGATCTTTCAGAAAATCTGCCCAAGACTATATCTTGCTGATCAGCCAACTCACTGAGCCGGAACCGTACTTTGCCACTGCTGTCGCTGAAAAGCTACAGAGTGCTGGTTTAAAGGTCTCCTTGCTTCCCCTCAAACTGTTCTCCATCCATGATTAATTAGTGACTCATGGGTGCATTGAATGACCAGCAGTCCTTTCCATGACTCCAGGATTTATGTACTGGTTTCTCATTGAAGAACAGTGGTGCAATAAACAGCCCACATCTGTGGGGTGCGAAGAGGAGTAATGGTGTCTGCAGTCATAGTTTCTTAACTCCTCTAGTACTTCCATTCTGCTAAGCAGGTTATGGCTCAGATTATTACAGCCTTGCTTATTTCGCCAGGAGGGTACTGGGCAGTGACACATACATATAGCCTTAGAAATGAATACCACTTGTCCAAGAAAATGCAGAAAAGTCATATTGCTATTTCTGAATTCCTTGTGAAACAAGGAGAAAGAATGAAATGGATAATAGAATTATAGGCATGAAAAGTACCAAAAGAACCCATAATCAGGTTCATTTATCCATGCATCATATTTTAAAGCTAGGTGCTTTTCCTTGTGCAGAGATGTAGATAGTGGTTTCAATAAATAGATGTAAGAAATCAGGAGTATGTTTAGTCACAATTTTGGAAGGTACCTGGAGCTCTTTTCCCAGAGAATGGAACATAGGAATTACAGACATCATTTTATATTGCATACTATGTAATCAGGGCACAAAGGAAATACTGAGGTCCACCCCTGTATCTCTGGATGCTTGAATGCTCACAGCCTCCTTTTGCTGATCAGTCTATATTAATTGCTTCTAAGATCAAGATTCCTTGGTTACTTGTCCATTCTTTTATTGGATGCAAGATGAACTGACATACTAAATGATAAATGGAAAGTTGAAGAAAGCCTGCCTTTTGGAAAAATAAAGTGTGCCTAACTATATATAGAAACCAGTGCCCATCCCACCAGAAGTCCTAATTTGTTTATTTTAAACATAGTTGGTGCTTAATAAATATTGTATTTATATATTGAATGACTACATGAATGAATGAGTAAAATAAATGACTAAATCTGAGATTTAGTATAAATCGTTCCGATATCTTGACGTATACATATTCTGGTCTTTTCTTACATTCTTCTTTTTCTTTTCCTCCTCTTCCTGGTTTTTCTCCTTCTCTTCCTTCTACTTCTTGAATAAAAAAGTGGAAGATAACAAAGAATCCTGAACTAATATTGTGACTCAGTCTTGTAGAATGTCTGAATTACTACTGATACGGTTTGGCTGTGTCTCTACCCAAATCTCATCTTGAATTGTAGATTGCATAATCTCCATGTGTTGTGGGAGGGACCCAGTGGGAGGTCATTGACTCATGGGAGCAGTTACCCCCATGCTGTTCTCATGATAGTGAGTTCATTCTCATGAGATCTGATGGTTTTTATGAGGGGCTTTTCCTCTTTTGCTCGGCACTTCTCCTTCCTGCTGCCATGTGAAGAAGGATGTGTTTGCCCTCCAGGCCTCCACAGCCATGCTGAACTGTGAGCCAATTAAACCTCTTTTGTTCACAGATTACCCAGTCTTGGGTATGTCTTTATTCACAGCATGAGAAAGGACTGATACAGCTACTCAATTGTATTATCCTTGAATACCCAACATATTACCAATAATGTGGAAAACTAGAGAAATTGAGCAAGATGTCTCCCTTTTGTCCTTAAACATGCCTCCAACATCCTGCAATGCTATGATGCCTTTCCAAGTGCTTAAGAGAGGCTGATTATATTTGAACAGTAAGGTTACATTTATTTTATGTCTCATTGTGAATACTAGTTCCAACTTAGTCATAACCAATTATTAGAGGAGAGGATCAGAGTTTTAATAGCATTATTACGTATGCTTTGTGTTTTAGTACACTTCCCAGAAGGTGGATGATATCACAACCACCACCATTACCATTTGTATCTTTACTATTTGTGTTAGTCCATTCTCACATTGCTTTAAATAAATACCTGAGACTGAGTAAGTTTTAAAGAAAAGAGTTTTAATTGGCTCATAGTTCTGCAGGATGTACAGGAAGCATAGCAGCATCTGCTTCTGGGGAGGCCTCAGGAAGCTTCCAATAATAGAAAATGGAGGAGGAGGAGTCTCACATGACAGGAGCAGGAGCAAGAGAGACACGGGCAAGATACCAGACACTTTAAACAACCAGACCTCATAAGAATTCATTCACTATCACAAGAATAGGCCAAGGGGATGGTACTAAACCATTCATGAGAAATTGTCCCCATGATCCAGTCACCTCCCACCAGGCCCCATCTCCAGCACTGGGGTTTACAACTGAACATGAGATTTGGGTGGGGACACATTGAAACCGTATCACCATCTTCATTGCCATGGTTACTTTTGTCAAATTCTTTGCAATTTCCCTTCTGACAAGTCTTTGGTGGCCACAGAGGTTCTCTTCTGCTGTGTTGCATAAGCTGTGGTCTTGAGTACATCTCTCTTTTGATTACTCTGAGAAGTAGGGCTACAAGTAATGGGAAGCATGGCAGCCATCTAATTCTGAAAATTCTAGGTCAATTTCACTGGCATCTATTGGGGGTACCTTTTCTATGCAGTTTGGAACTGCAGAATCCTTATGTGCGTGTGTGTGTGTATGTATATAACCAGACACACACACACACACACACACACACATATATGTATATGTATATGTATATGTATATATATATATATACGTATATATATATATATATATATATATATCCTGTATATCCAGCTCCCCTGACATTGGCTCCTAACCATTCTGTACCCCTCCACTTTGCCTTGATTATATGAAAATATGCAGACAAGCTCATACATATGTCCTCCTTAACTGTAAATCTGAATTGAGAAATGATTTAAGGTCCAGTGTCTTAGTATCCTCTCTTAGTAAACAGGCCTAATCCATCTTACAGAAATAAACTTTGCATTGTCATTGTGTAGCTGCAAGGTAGTTCCAGACCTGATATCCATAGAGGGGAGTTGAATGATGTAACCTGTGCTGCACAGCTTGTGAGAGTAATTTGGGTGGTTTATGCCATTGGCTTTTATGTTCAGGATGAAAGCTCATGGAGAAATATAGAATACTATTATTATCTTCATGCTGACAGCTCCCTCTGGGTGCCTACAGGTTTATTGCTAGTTGGAGGATCAACTTTAAAGGGAGATAACTTGGTAGTTAATGATAACTATGCCTTTCGTGTTTCTTTGTTACAGGAACAGGGGAAAATTGGAGTTGTCTTCAATATTGGCACAGTTGACATCTCCATCAAAGAGGAGAGAACCCCTGTAAATGATGGCAAATACCACGTGGTACGCTTCACCAGGAACGGTGGCAACGCTACCCTGCAGGTGGACAACTGGCCAGTGAATGAACATTATCCTACAGGTACATGTTGTGTGCTCAACAGTCCTACTCTTTTTGACTTTCTTTTTCCCACTTTCTAATGGTGATTTTTTTCTCATGACTATCACCAAATTCTAAAACACTGAGTGAAGCACACATTCATGATTTTTGGTATGAGAAGATACGTTATCTCTTTAGGGCATGATCCAGTATAGGGAGCTTCTGGAGACTTTACCAACTATGCACTGGACACTTTTGTCGACCTTTGACTGATACAGCCTGACTGGCTCATAGCAAAGACAGTTACTGCAGATTTTACAGGGCCAGCAGACAATGAGGGGTGAAGAGAAAGAACATCATTATGAGCGAGTGTTGATAATCCTAAGATGCTCAATTTGAGACCCAGACTTTGTGGTGCCATTGACTCAGGTGTGGTTGAAGTTGCCGATGCCAGAGAGAGACTCTAAAACGACATTTACTGAACTTGAATTGACACAGATCAGGTCATGGTAACAATGAGAGAAAAACCACTCTAGTGAAGGTAGAATTTTATTCATTTGGTGGACTTTGCTAATTTTTTTTTTTCCTCTCTCACTTACCCTAAGCCTGCTGTGATGTTCAAAGGTGGGTCCTAGTAGTCATTTTAATAGCAAGCATGCTGGTGTGGCAGGAAAAGGGGTTAATCATCTGTTTAAATTTTACAGTCAGGAAACATTCAGCAACAAATTCCCAGAGCCAGATGGCTGAATCAAGGACAATGGGAGAAAAGGTTGCCTTCCTTACAAGAGATCATTCAAATAATCCCTTAGCTTTCCCTCTTGCCTCTCACCTCTCCCAGGAAGAATTGTGAGTGCTGATCGTAAAAGTGCCAGGAATGGAAGGGACAACCCTTCAGCAAAGGGCCATTGCTCCACAACTGTGCTGTCCCCTGATAGATGCAAGAGAATAGTCAGAACATTGCACTTCTCATTAATGTGGGCATGAAGTGAAGTGCAACTCTCTCCAATGCACCAAACTCCCCACAATTTTCTCACTTCCTGTGCAGTGAGCTGGGCACAATAACAAAGAAGCTTGACGCACATTTTCAGATGTCTATGCGCCATTAGTGAATAATGGTTATGCTTGTGAGAAATATACAAAGTAAATGTGACCATTTGTAGGCCAAGACTTTTGAATGGCTTGAAGGCTGTGATTGTATCTCCATACCAAACTCAGCATTGATTTTCTTTAAAAGCCTGTCAGAAGTATCTCTGTTGTTGGGTTGTTCCCTAGTAGCTAGAGTTCCCCTATCTGTTTAAGAATTGTGAGACTATCCGCAAACAGCATGCAAGACCCCCAAGGAATTGAGGCAAAAAGCTCCACCCATTATTGATTTTCCATCTCAGTTTCTATAAAACAGCCAGCTCAGCCATTGCTGGGAGTCTCAGAATTTCTTAGATTAAGGGCACGAAAATGCCCTTATGAGGTTATCTTTGAACATTTGAAGAAAGTCAAAGTTATTAACAGCGTCTATGAATTTTTATCATCATTCAAATTCACTATACACTAATAGACTTAATTTTTTAAATGCTTCTTGCTTAATCCCTGATGGATGGAGGAGAGGGTGAAACAGCCCAATATATTAAAGGCTGTTCATAGGCTCATAGAAAAAATCAATCTCTCTCTCCATATGTGTTACAACTGGCCTTGCTAGTGCCGTTGAAGAGTTTGTTGTGTTTCTATTAGGAATTTCAAAGAGTTCTAAATTGATGTTAACCACTTGCCTTGAGCGGATATAGAATCCCACATATAGAATCCACACGTTTGCTTCTAGCAATGAGAAGGCTCTTTAACAGTCATTTTAAAGCCACAGGTATGGAAGAAAATGGAGACTCTTGCTGTGCGCCTATCTTTTTGTGTCTTTAGTTCGAAATTATGGGTTGCTTCCTGTATGTTTTCAAAAGAGGATAAACCTTTCTCTAATAGAATGGCTTCCTCCTGCAGACTGTTATTATCATTGCAAACTGTTAGTGAGTAATAATATGTGTTGTTATTACAGGACAGGGTACAGTATAGCATTTATAAGTATGGGCCTTGAGATCAACTGGCTAGAGTTGGGATCTTGGTTTCATCATTTGTGAGTCTAAGGCAGTTGGATTAAGACCTTGAAATGCCCTCAGCATTGAAATATTTGGTACCTCTTCCCACCTGTACTTCAAAATACAGTGACACTGAACCATAAAATAAGTTCAAGAGTTTCTGAGAATTTTCTCCTCTGATGATTTCTGTAATGCTTTCAAAATACGGTAGATTCTTTCTTCCCAAATTCTCATTTTGTAAAAAGTTATTGGACCTCCCTGAGGCTGTTTCCTAGTCTGGAAAATGAGGGTAATGAGAATACCTGGGTTAATGTGAAGATTAAGTGAGTTGGCCACATATACAATGTTCAACATAATACTGGGACAATTAAGTCAATTCTCAAAAATGTTAGCTGTGAGGATGACCAACATTTGGCTAACATTTTAAATTGGGACATATTTTTGAATACAGATTTATTTTGACAATGAAGTACCCTATAAATTGGATAGGGTAGATATTTTTTATTCTCCATTTCAAATAAAAGCAGAGACCCAAGGAGGTGCTATACCCTTCCTAAGGTCACATAGCAAGTAGGTCACATAGCAAGTGAAGGAAGAACTAGGACCAGAGTTTCCTGTTTCCAATTGGGCACAATTTTCACTATTGCTCCCCCAGTGAATTGGGGGATTTTCTGAAAAACGTATAGCTAGAAATGAGCATTTTTTCTATTGTGTCATCTTTTATTTCTTTCTTTAAAGAATTATCATATCTCAAAGGTCACTTCCAATGATCACATAAAGGTGATTATTGTGAGGTGTGGAGTCCAAAATGTTCATTTAAAAGTTTTATTGGCATCACGGAGCCCAAGCTGTCCTCCTTACAACAATGGCAGTGTGCTCCCATGTAGCAGTTGAAAGAACACTGAGTATTGGAAGGAACTATCTCCTTACCTTGCTGCCTAGATTAAACAGTTGAGTTGAGATTGAGTTTTTTGTTCCACTCTGCCAGACTTCCTAGGAGCGGCTCCCTTTTTGAGCCTTGCATACCTTATTTTCTCTCCTGCCTGCTTTCCTAATTTAAAGTATCATAAGAACAATCTGGCAATGTTTAATTAATTTATTTTAAATCATAAGATCTAAATGCCCTTTATGTCTGGTCATATCAAACAACAAAGCCATCAACCTGGCGAGGCAATCTTGACACAGTTTCTACAAAAAATGTGTCCCCCTTTTTTCTAAAGTCATTCTATTTTATCGGTAACAGTACATTTAGAAATCACAAGGTTTTAGTCTCACTACTCACTTATTACTAATGTTTAAACAGTAAAGACATACAGAGTAGCTCCTATAGAACATTTACTAACGTTATCTCACTCAGACACCATGCTCTTAGGAAACTGTTTCTGCCTACCAGGTCTGAATGAATCAGCTGTGCATCAGGATGAATGGGTCAACTCCACAATCTTCTCATGGGCATTTATGGGCCTCTCCTGAATCATCCCACCATGAACTATTTAGAACCCAGCTGGGCACGGGGCATGTAGCATTGGCTCTGTGAATCAGGGATGATACAGAATGAAAATAGTTCTATAGCAACCAGAATCTTTTATCACTAAATTCTGGGAGATAGAACTCAAAAGCAACTTCTTTCTTTGAACCTGAAAATAGAAAAGCTAAGAAACCGGAGAGGGAAATAAAAGAAGAATCAGCCCAGAGCTATCATCCAGGCAATGACAAATGTTCCTTATAAAGTCTCTGATTGTTGTCCCTACACAATGCAGTGGTAGGAACAAGGGAAGGGAGGTGAAAGGTGACTTGAGTATGAGGAATTAATTTTAGCCACAGTTTTAGGCCCCCTGGAAGGCTGAGCTGACTGGGATTGTTCAAGATCCTCTCTCTGCTGTGAGCGGGTGGCCAGTGGTACTGTCATTGCTAGAAGATCCCTGAGCATGGTCCAGTAAAGGCTTTTCAGGTCCTATCTAGGCTTCTTGGGAAATACAGACTGATGAGCAGCTCAAATCTTTGCACATGAGGGCGTGCTGAAGAGAGCAGGGTCTCAACTAGCTTTTTCCTTGATACCAACTCAGTTGAAGTACTCTTGACAGAATTCCTCTTCTTCAGTCTTGAAAATGCTCACGGATGACCTGTGTTTAAATCCTATTTGACCACATAATTTAGTACCTGAAAAAGAGGTAAAAGTAGCTCCCTTTCAAGGATGCTAGATTAGAAAACTCTCTTTATATGTGAGTTCATCAAATTCCAAAGAAATTTATCTTTATAGGGCTTGGAAGGGAAAACATTGCTATAATACTTGTTGATGATCAAAATACCTTCAAATACATTGTTACCTTAGAGCGTCACACCACCCTGTGAGGGACTGGGTTTGGTATTATTATTCCTGCCAGACTCATTTTAAGGTTACATTACTAAGGCTCTGAAAGGCTAAATAACTTGCCCACTGTCACACAGCTTAAGGGGCAGAGCCAACAGTTTTCTATCCTGATCCTCAGACTACAGAACCTCAAACTTTCTGCTTACTTTCCTATTCCTCAGAGCCATGATTTTATTAATATTTCCTTTTGTAAAACAGTATTCTCAGTTGGACGCAGTGGCTCACGCCTGTAATCCCAGCAGTTTGTGAGGTGGGCAGATCACGACCTCAGGAGATCGAGACCATCCTGGCCAACATGGAGAAACCCTGTCTCTACTAAAAATACAAAAATTAGCCAGGCATGGTGGAGCATGCCTGTAGTCCCAGCTACTTGGGAGGCTGAGGCAGGAGAATTGCTTGAACCTAGGAGGTGGAGGTTGCAGTGAGCTGAGATTGCACCACTGCACTCCAGCCTGGCAACAGAGCAAGACTCCATCTCAAAAAAAAAAAAAAAAAAAAAGTATTCTCAAATGAAGTCTCTGCCTGGGCTAGCCTAGTAAGTAAGGGTTTTCAACCTATTGACATTTGGGCCTGGGCACATCTTTGCTGTGTGT